ACTCAAAGATAATGAAACTCATAGCTACCTGACCCAAACATCAACTCTTATTTACCCGAAATGAACAAGCTCTGACAGAAGGCGCAAGTGAACTCCAGTGAAACGACAACTACATGCGCTTACGACCGTATGTGTCTCAACATCTAGACAATGACCAGGGCACCACGCTGGATCTGCAGCGACATCACCAATCCTGGTGTCAAGCCAAAAGTCCTGACAGTCGCCAAACTCATCTGACCTGTTTGCGACAAGCGCATTCCATGGGGTTCAACCTGAGGACCTTTGCCATGTGCCACACTCTTCGCGATCCATCAACAAAACCAAGTCGTTCCAAACATGTTGCGCAGGAGTTTTGGATAAGGTCGTAACGCTTACAAGAAGCACATCACGCCAAACAAAACTATACCCTGAGCCTGCCAAACGACACTTTCACCAATTTTCTTTTGCCCATGCTATACTGCGCTGCTCCGAACCTAAAATGCACAAGTAATTACCATCAGGATTCTTCTGCGTCTGACTCCATGGACCCTGGATGAGCATGTTGGACAAAGCTGCGCTCGATGTCACTTCTTGATCAAAGCGTCAATCTCTGCAATCGCTGATCGCCAACGCTGCATAGCTTGTTCCCACCCTCTCTTGGTTGGATGCGATGAGGAGCGAGGAGTCGACAGCATATCATCGGTTTTGTTCTTCTGGTAGATCTTGTAGCTCTCCCTTTGCTTGTGCATCTCCACGCACCTCTGACGCTTGTCAGCGGTTGCCGTGGGACAGATGCCTGAGATGTCCAAGCAAAAGAATCCTGATACTGGTGCCAAGATGCTGCAGATGAAATATTCTCGAGACATGTAAGAACGTACACATTGTACGATGTGACTCTTGAGCGCATGTTGAACAAATACAGTTTTGGGCCTTCAGAACGTTTCAATAATGTCTTGCGAGACGTATGATCCCAGCAAGCCCATTGAGCCTTTGTCAGAACGTTTCAACAATGCATTGCGAGTAAATCACCCAGCAAACCCTTTGAGCTTTTGTCAGAACGTTTCAACAATATCTGGCAAGTAAATCACCCCAGCAAGCCCATTGAGCCTTTGTCCCCACGTTTCACAAATGTCTTGCGAGGCAAATCACCTCAGCAACACCAAGATGCATAAGGAATGGTTTCCTCTTCCTCTGCCCTCGGCAAAGATTCAGACGCACGACGTCGGAGTTTTCTACGCCGTTTCGGCGACCCTCTCAGCTTCTTTTGTTTGACAAAGCGCTCACTCACTCTGAGAGCTGCCAAAACATACGTCAACGTCGCTTCAGTCAGCTCCAGCCATACATCGGCGCCCTTGATTTGCCACAGCACACGGCACGAAATCTCAGGGAACTCTCGACCAGGTTCAGAAAAGGCGGGCAATCGAATCATCACAAACCTTTTGTCTATGAGAACCCCATCATCGTCCTTGGCAGCACGAAGGCGATGCATGGGTTGATCATCCTCAGACTCTTTCAGCTTACGATGCAAGGCTGCGTCACACGCTTCTTTTCCTCGACAATGTTTTTCCACAGGCTCTAAACATATAAGTAAACACAAAAAAACGACAGACGTGAGTTGTATGAAGTGTGCATTAAACACATGTAAAAGCCTTGCATACACCACGCACATACATTGTGTTAACCTATGCACGCGTTTGATTCGACCCTGCTGACTAGTGTCGGAGCTTGCGGAGTTCTTCCCAAAAAACAACCTGAAGGTCGCGCTTTTCTTTCGATTTGTGACGCTGCATTCCTTTGCCAAAGGCGAGCTTGCAAAGAGTGCTGTCCCATTTGGAAAACCTGGCAAAAACGTGGCCTTCCACTTCAGCTACATCAGGTAGCCAACAAGTCTTCTTCATGTTTCCGACACGCACACTGAAGACCTTCTGAATCTTGACAGTCGGATCATCTTCATCACCTGAGCCCTCATCAGCAGCATTCTCCTCCTCTACATCAGACATGAAGGTAGAAGCGTGCTCACGCAATGATTGGCAAGGCACGTGTAAGCCAAACACTTTATAGGTTACTACGGACCCCACAGCGGAACTCGGACGTCACGCATAAACACTTCAAGTATAATTCAAACAAAACTCATCTTAATATATTTAAACGCTCTCTCTTTTTTCTCGCAGATGGCTTATGTGGGTAAACTGTCAAGAAAGGATTCCTTTCAGGAGATCCTGAGCTTCTTTGCGTATCTCTTATGCCTTTCGTTTGCCTTGCTTCGGCCGACAGTCACCCACTTCCGCTTCAGCTAAAACAGGGATTCGAGCGTTTCCTTCATCACGGGACAAGATGGGCATTCTAGTTTAAGTTCACCTTGGAAACTCAATGCGTCGAGAGATCCTCGGCTCGGGGGATCGGCCACATTACTGCTTGAAGCGACCCTTGCGATCCAAGTCAGGGATTCAGACCTGGCGTCAGGTTTCTCCACCTCCAGGAGGAGGTGTCTCCACGAAAGCAAAGCCGAGTAACCCCTCACAAAAACATCTATGGTCGTCCAATTGTCACAGAAGAAAATCACTCTTTCGTGCTTCAAGTCCGCCGACCAATGTTCGAACGCTGTTGCCACTCCATACAACTCGACGAGACCGATCGGATGACTGGACTCAGACAGCCATCTTTCAAGCAAAGCTGGATGCACTTTGGTCCCAAACACTCTGGCCCTGCTGTTCGGTCTCAACATGACTGCTCCTATGGTCGCCAAAGGTTCGTCTCGATCATCGAACTCGAAGGCCCCGTCGGTGTAAATCAGAATCGGTTTGACAGGGTCCCCTGCTGTCAAAGTCCTGGGCTTGCCTTCCGAGAATCTTTGCTTGAGGACGACTAGGGAATCTATTACTTCGGGGGATAAGCTATGTTTATCCTTAGAGTCATGTCCAAGAGCCCTTAAGTCTGCCATGGCTAAGCCACCCATCTTTCCTGCCAACTGCATGTCTGCGAACTGCATCCTACCAAGGATCGAAGGAAGCTGGATTGGGATCACAAAGCCGTCGCCTAAAACCTTGTCAATAGTCTCCAGCAGTTCCTGTTTCCTCGAAGGTTTGTTGTCCACGACTATCTTGCCCTGAGAGGCTTGGGACAGATTCACGAGCACTCCTAAAGTTTTGGCTTCTTCCCCGAAAGGTGCCAGCTTCTCTTCGCCAAAGGCGAAACCTAGAAGTTCAAAGAGACCTTTCACGCATGTCATGGTCGACAGCTGGTGAGCCTCATGCGTGATTGTAGGGTAGTCGTCAAAATAGTTAGTCCACAAGATTCCCAGCCTAAGACCCAAGGCCCAGATGAGCCTTGAGATGCGGTTGAAGTGGAGCACACTGGCCACACTTCCAAAAGGAAGGGTACGCATTTCAAAGCATACAGCAGACTTGGTGTCGGGGTTCTTCAGGGTCACTATCGAACAACAATACTCCTCTGGGTGTAGAGGGAGTTGCTTGTAGGCCGACGCAAGGTCGAACGAAGTCATACGGAACTGACCTTGGGCATTTGACCAGGACTCGTGCACCTGACCTTTAAGCCGGCTCCCATCACTAAGCTTGAAGTCTATTGCTCCTCGGTGTTTACAAAACCTGACGCATACGCAAAGACTCCACAAAATGTGGTCCAAAGCATGAAGATCGATTTTGTCGCAACTGGAAAAGCAGTCGTTAAGATGATTTTCCTTCATATCATCTATTGGTCGAAGTTTTCCTTTCTGTCTGACTCCAAAGCGCCTAACCGGCAACCAAGTCTCCTGGTGCCTGTCGGACACACTGCTCGGATCGAGAGGCCCTTCGAGCCACCCCTTTTCGTTTGCCTCTCGGAGGGTGATGTCGTACAGTTCACGCTCATCTTCATCCTCAACTACCTGGTGGTTCAATTTTCCGAAAATCAAAGGCCTAATGAATTTCGAATCTTGCATGAGCTTTTCCTTGCTCATGCTGGCCGGACGAAATTCCTGTTTGAAGATGTGTGAAGGGGGGAGAGTGACCTGTAAGCTTAAATCCTTCTCTGAGTTCTTGATGTATTCGTTCATCAGGCCAACCGATGTCTTTGGCAAGTTCTTCAAGCACCAGCAAGCGTTTTCCCTTCAGGATCCTAGCCACTTTGGGGTTCAGTTTCTTGTGCAGGTCTCGCTCACGCATTTGCAAAGCCCTGGCCTTTTGCATCCAACTATCCAATGTCTTGATCCTATGCTTGGTGAGCTCCACCAACCCCAAGGTCAAGTTCAGAAACAAGCAACGAATGAGATCATCTGGCAAGTTCATCAGTTCGTCGTATGGATGCCACAACTGACGGGAGACCTCAACAAAGGACTCCATACTCCTATAGACCCCGAAAACGCACAAGACCTTCTGTCCCGGTTTAGCTTCAGATCTCAACAAACGAGCACCGCATGGCAGGTCGCCTACAGCAGTCTGCAAGCATTGTTTGGAGTCAAGGGAAGGCACCCGGTCTAAAAGTCGTGGTGCAGTTCATACGCCGTGTCAAAGGGTGAAACGATGTTAGCATTCTTGACTTTACAAAAGGTGGACGTCTTTCCTGCTCTTGGGATTACACCGCCAGGCCAAGAGCAGGGGGGCCCCAAGTCAGTGAGGGTGCTCAGGGTCTTATTGTCAGGCCTTAAGGGAAGTCACTAGGTTAAAATAAGTAGGCGAGAGGAATGACAGCGGTGAAGGGGCCCAAGGAATCCCAGGCGAGCCACTGTGCCCCATCGGTTAACCCTTGATTTGTAAAAAGGCGCAGTGGAAGATAACTTGGCCGTACTCTGACACTATTTGCGGCAAGCGACGTCCTCTGGGCTGTTTCTGAGGTTTGGCGGCCTCCTGTTGTGAGGCCTCGAGAGGGATAGAAATGCCACGTGCCTGAGCCAAAGTGACCAAAACATCAGTGTACGCTTCGCACAATTCTTTAGGATATTCTGCCTCTTTGGAAATATTAAAAACCTGTGCCTCCTCGTCAAATCCCCACCCCTCGTGAGAATGCGTGCCATCACAAAATCTCTCCATGCAGCTAAAGCGGGCGTCGCTCGCAAGCAAAGCTGTGTTCTTCTTACGGCGACCTCCGTAAGCACATGCGTGAAGATGGTACAAATGGCCGCATGCCAAAGGAAAAGCCAGCTCTGGGAGTTCCCACAACCAGGAGTTACTGGGGTTCTCAATGACCCATGGGATTTGCAAGTGCTCCAAAAAACTCAACGAACTTAGACATGGCGGCGTACAATTGGTTTGCAGCGGTGACCTTTGTCTTATCGCTGGGTGACATGTTGGGGAGTCCATGTAAAAAATCGAAACTTCTCAAGGGCGGCGGACCTGGACTCCCGTCTGCTAAGGGAATGCCCCTGGCTTTGGAGCAAGTCCCACATGGCAGGCCTATGTGGACACATACGACTTCGAAGTCCGTGCACACCTGCCGCAAAACTTCCAAAGCATGTGGCGTTGCAAGGTCAAGAGTAAAAACGCTGCAGTGAGTCTTGTGGCGGTTGCGCGAGCAATCAATGGGAAAAACAGGAAAACCCCTAGCTTTTGCAGTTGCGCTGAGGATTGCGCACCCTGCGCATGCTTCGATGAAGATTGGACTCTTTCGATGTTTGTCGGTTGGTTTCGAACATGATGTGTCTGCTGTTGCTGTGGGTTCGATCGCTGGTGAAACAAAATCGGATGCATCTGCTTGAAACTTGTTCTGGCTTGTCTCTGACTCTTCACGCTTGTTGGGGTTTGGACCGGGGTCGTCTTCGACGACCGAAAAAGAAGCTTTACGCTTGGTTCCCTTTGGGAGTTTCAAATTCTCAAACGGCCCTTGCTTCGGGCCCGCATGCATGTTTGAGCCCTCTGCTTCGAGCTCATCTCTTGGACTGCCTAGTCACCCTTCCTTCCGGGCATTCGGACACTCCACCGCTGGATGCGGCTTGAAGCAGTTCTTGACACAGCACAGGCGCAATCCCCTGTCACACTTCTGTTGCTTCGCTTGTGCATTGCAAGTCTTCAAATTGAATCCAAAGCAAATGCGATTTCCTTTCGAAGTGCTTGCGACACCCCCAAGCTTCAGCAGTTCAACTGGAACTCTTTGAAATGTGTCTGCCTTGCCTCCTCCCTTTCCTTTGGGACCGAGCTTGCGACGCTTGAAGGCATCGTCCTCCTTAACGATGTTCGGCTTGAAGCCACTGGGATTCGCGTTCGGAATCGCAGCGTTCTGGGCCATCCGAGGTTGAAGCAAGTGCCTGACCTCCGTTGCATTGAAACAAGCGTCAAATGAAAGATCACAAGGTCTCCCTGCCGGAGTTGCTTTAATGCCGCTTCGGGTGTGCTCCGACAAAAGTGTGAAGAACTTCTTGTCAGCCTGTTCCAACTGCTTCACGCTGACCTTCTGGTATCCTAGTGGAGGCTCTGACATACGAGTCTCCATCAACAACTCTGTCCACCTGTCGTGGTTCTCATAGCTCATCACATTTGCCTGCTCCATCGCGAGGCCTCGCCTCACAAGGCAGTACCTGACTTGGATTTTCGATGATGTTTGAGCTGGATCTGGTTTGTCGTGTTTGGACAGTTTCAGTGTGCCATCACCTGAAAAACTCAAACTGGTGTCCTTTTTCACGTTGTTCGAAAGCTCAAACTCTCGAGAGATGCATGCTGACCATTCCACATAAACCAGCCTGTCGCTCTCATAGCAATTGCAAAACTTGTCGACTAAGGTGTCACCTGGTTCATAGTGACCTCGGATCGAAAGGCCTTTCAATCGGTTTTGTTGTTCCCTAAGACGTTCGGCTCGTTCAGCAGGAGCTAATTTCCTCGTTGCAGTTTCATCGGTCTGTTCAACTTGGGATTTGATGTCTGCCGCAACGTTGGCATAGCTTTCACTGAACAATCTTCTCATGATACTCATCTCTAAAGCCGTTGCATCACGGCCCAAAGCGTCCTTCACCATGTCCACCAATGGCCTGTCTGATGCGGCCCCTGGTGCGTAGTTACAAGAAAAAGCAAAAAGAGCCATTGTCTTATATCCTTTGTCCTGGAGCTTTTCCAGGACAGCTCGCTCCATGCCCATCTGCAGTGCTCTTGCTTCGAACACCGCCGAGCTGTCGCCAAATGACATGGTGAGACCGCGAATCTGGCATGGGATGGCTATCCTTGAGTGCCCGGCTTCGGTCACGATCAAGATTCACGTCGAACCCCTTCCGATGTAGAAGATTCCGTGAGGCCGCCGTTTTTTCAACTCAAGTGGCTTTGGGTCCGCGCGCGCGCGCGCCTCCGACGGCCGTTTTTAGAGCCCAAAAAGGCGCGCGCGCGCGCCCAAGCTTCCAAAACGGTGACCTTCACGGATCTTAATATTCCGATGCTTACGCGCTCGTTTCTGTATGTTTGAGTTTCTTCTGTTTGGTAAATTGATTCTCATTGCACTCGACCAAAGTGTCCAAAAGAAAAGCGTCTGCACGAACTTCACCACGGTTTACCAATCTTTTTGCACAAGCTTTCAGTTTGAACTCTTCCAGTCTGTCTTCAATCAATTCAAGCTCTTAAATGCTTGCTTTCCATTCTTCAAAGAAAAATCCTCAAGCGCACTCGATTTTCCCTTCATAGGCTCTCGACGTTGGTGTCATAGCTTCAGACACACTCCGCAAGCCGGATACACGAACTCCGGTTTCTCATCCAGGCGCAAATAGTTGGCATTTGCAGTTCGGCCACAACGAAAATGCGTACCTCCTTCGTCTGCGAGGACATGAAGGCATCGGGAAGTCTTGTGGCGAGCGTAGCACAAAGAGTCGGTGGCCTCCTGTGGCCTCCAGGGGCCTACAACTTGCGCAACTGCTTTCTCTTCTTCCTCCGGGATGTCGTCCTCCTCACTCTCCGAACCCCTGCTCTCCGAGTCCAGCGAACCATCGTCGTCTGAAGCAGGCTGGTTGCTTTCGCAAGTTGAGCCCGGGGCGAAATATCCGGACCGAGTCTTGTCCGGGAAAAACTAGTCAGTCCACCATGATGACTTCCCTAAGTCTCCTCAAAGGCAAGGACATGCTGTCTCTCGAGTATACCAGCAATGACTTGTCTTTCGAACAGCTGTGGTATCCCAACATGCGACGAACTGAATGTTCTAAGCCAAACTTCGAACACATGCTCAACAAGGTGCTCTTGCACGAATGCGTTGCGATTCGAACTGCGGCACCATCGGACACCTTCAACAAAGCTCGAAGCCATTCCCCTGCTGAACTCACCGGCAAAGGGGTTTTGGACCACGAGCCATCCGCCATTGGTGAGGTCAAAGGTGTTCCTCTCTCACACTTCAAACCCGCCTTGTCCCTCAGTTCAAGCCACGTCAAAACCCAGCTAGGGTCGGAAAAACCCAGGGTTGGAACAGCAATCGGAAGGTGCCTTGTCTTGCGCTCCAATGTGATCGAGGTCTTCGTTCTTTCGGCCTCGCATTCAAGGAAACCTTCCAGGTCGGTGCCGACTGTGATGACATCAAGTTTCATGCTCGAAATATGAAGTCCGTCACTGAACCTAAGTCTTCCGAAGATCAAGAGCAAAAAAGTAGCCTGCTGCGATCCTGTCAAAAGCAGTCCTACGTTCGTCCTTCACGATCTGTTCCAGGTGCTGCACTTGCTCAACAGTCAAAGGTGGCCTTTGCACTACTTTCCTTCGATTGCAAAAAATGCGCCGCTGACAAACCCTTAATTCGACCGCTCTTCAAAACGACTTCCCCTCCCATGAGGCCCAAAATATGGAAGGCGAACGAAATGGAGAGCAAAAGCGATCTGAAAGAACTCGGTGCGGCGTTTGTCCAAGACTTGAAGTATTCGTAAAGCATCGGTTCCTCGACTGGAAAACATTCACAACCCAGAACTTTGCAAAACGAATCAAAGGTCCTGCCCTGTTGTGAAGTGTGCTTGACGCCTTGTTGGCCAGGGCATCGCTCACTGAATCCATGAGACCTCCTTGGGCGAAATTCAAAGCTCCCGACGCGGCAACCTGTCGAGAGATCTGCCAAGCACCTACATTGGTCAAGATCAAAGAGCACCATTTCTTGTACGCACACTTCCTTTCCCATGACAGCTTCTCATGCCACAGTTTATTATCTGCTGTGGTTGCAAATTTCAACTTAGCCTCACGAAAAGCACTTTTGCTGAGCTCTGGACCAACTTCGAGGTTGTTAGCTGAACTATGGACTTTTGGCATCAATGGCATGTTTCCGGACAAAGGCATGACTTGCATGGAACTGGAAAACACATCGAAAGGCGTCCTCAAGCATGCATCCCATGGCATGACATGTGACTCTGATTTACGAAATCTATTCCAGCAAAATGCAAGATGTTTCTCATATCCATCCCCGGGGACGGCTTGCCCCTCATTTCCTCCCTCCATTGCACCCCAATTCCGCTTTAGTGAAGGTATCATCGACGATGACGGTGCTCGTAGCAACTATGATGTTTATGTCCTTCGGCCCGTGTACACGGGCGGTCACACCAGCGGCAATGAAAACCGCACCTCCACGGCGAACGAAGGCCCGGGGAGGAGGGCACCTCCCACGAGCCCTGGCTTTCAGGGATGCGCGGAGAAGAAGGCTGATCCGGAGCGGCAGTTTCGGCAAAACCAACAGTCAGTTCACTCAAAATCAGCTGAATCCAGCGAAGCAAATTGCTAGTGGAAACCTGAGACAAATCTGGGAACTCGGCACCACGATCTCCCATTGCCAAAAACTACTCGCTCGCTTTGGATGGAATGAGCGCCCACCCGCCCTTCCCGCTTCTTGAACGGTAAAGCCGCGGCCGCGTTTGTATTTCCCGTTTGCTTGAAGACTGTCGTTTTTAAAAGCTTTGATTGTATTAAAACATTTTTAACACAAAGTGTGTTTCACACCGCTTGTGAACTTTTAGCTTTTGATGTACACACGTGCGTCATACTTATGTGCTCATTCAGAACGCACCTGACGGACACATGTGCTTATCTACTGAAACTTAAAAACCTTTTACGCAGTGGGGGATGTTAGCTTAACATCAATCCTGCGTTACCTATAAACCGTCATTGGCACGCCAACAACAAACTTATAGGTTACTACGGACCCCACAGCGGAACTCGGACGTCACGCATAAACACTTCAAGTATAATTCAAACAAAACTCATCTTAATATATTTAAACGCTCTCTCTTTTTCTCGCAGATGGCTTATGTGGGTAAACTGTCAAGAAAGGATTCCTTTCAGGAGATCCTGAGCTTCTTTGCATATCTCTTATGCATTTCGTTTGCCTTGCTTCGGCCGACAGTCACCCACTTCCGCTTCAGCTAAAACAGGGATTCGAGCGTTTCCTTCATCACGGGACAAGATGGGCATTCTAGTTTAAGTTCACCTAGGAAACTCAATGCGTCGAGAGATCCTCGGCTCGGGGGATCGGCCACATTACTGCTTGAAGCGACCCTTGCGATCCAAGTCAGGGATTCAGACCTGGCGTCAGTTTTCTCCACCTCCAGGAGGAGGTGTCTCCACGAAAGCAAAGCCGAGTAACCCCTCACAAAAAACATCTATGGTCGTCCAATTGTCACAGAAGAAAATCACTCTTTCGTGCTTCAAGTCCGCCGACCAATGTTCGAACGCTGTTGCCACTCCATACAACTCGACGAGACCGATCGGATGACTGGACTCAGACAGCCATCTTTCAAGCAAAGCTGGATGCACTTTGGTCCCAAACACTCTGGCCCTGCTGTTCGGTCTCAACATGACTGCTCCTATGGTCGCCAAAGGTTCGTCTCGATCATCGAACTCGAAGGCCCCGTCGGTGTAAATCAGAATCGGTTTGACAGGGTCCCCTGCTGTCAAAGTCCTGGGTTTGCCTTCCGAGAATCTTTGCTTGAGGATGACTAGGGAATCTATTACTTCGGGGGATAAGCTATGTTTATCCTTAGAGTCATGTCCAAGAGCCCTTAAGTCTGCCATGGCTAAGCCACCCATCTTTCCTGCCAACTGCATGTCTGCGAACTGCATCCTACCAAGGATCGAAGGAAGCTGGATTGGGATCACAAAGCCGTTGCCTAAAACATAGTCTCCAGCAGTTCCTGTTTCCTCGAAGGTTTGTTGTCCGCGACTATCTTGCCCTGAGAGGCTTGGGACAGATTCACGAGCACTCCTAAAGTTTCGGCTTCTTCCCCGAAAGGTGCCAGCTTCTCTTCGGCAAAGGCGAAACCTAGAAGTTCAAAGAGACCTTTCACGCATGTCATGGTCGACAGCTGGTGAGCCTCATGCGTGATTGTAGGGTAGTCGTCAAAATAGTTAGTCCACAAGATTCCCAGCCTAAGACCCAAGGCCCAGATGAGCCTTGAGATGCGGTTGAAGTGGAGCACACTGGCCACACTTCCAAAGGAAGGGTACGCATTTCAAAGCATACAGCAGACTTGGTGTCGGGGTTCTTCAGGGTCACTATCGAACAACAATACTCCTCTGGGTGTAGAGGGAGTTGCTTGTAGGCCGACGCAAGGTCGAACGAAGTCATACGGAACTGACCTTGGGCATTTGACCAGGACTCGTGCACCTGACCTTTAAGCCGGCTCCCATCACTAAGCTTGAAGTCTATTGCTCCTCGGTGACAAAACCTGACGCATACGCAAAGACTCCACAAAATGTGGTCCAAAGCATGAAGATCGATTTTGTCGCAACTGGAAAAGCAGTCGTTAAGATGATTTTCCTTCATATCATCTATTGGTCGAAGTTTTCCTTTCTGTCTGACTCCAAAGCGCCTAACCGGCAACCAAGTCCCCTGGTGCCTGTCGGACACACTGCTTGGATCGAGAGGCCCTTCGAGCCACCCCTTTTCGTTTGCCTCTCGGAGGGTGATGTCGTACAGTTCACGCTCATCTTCATCCTCAACTACCTGGTGGTTCAATTTTCCCAAAATCAAAGGCCTAATGAATTTCGAATCTTGCATGAGCTTTTCCTTGCTCATGCTGGCCGGACGAAAATTCCTGTTTGAAGATGTATGAAGGGGGAGAGCGACCTGTAAGCTTAAATCCTTCTCTGAGTTCTTGATGTATTCGTTCATCGGGCCAACCGATGTCTTTGGCAAGTTCTTCAAGCACCAGCAAGCGTTTTCCCTTCAGGATCCTAGCCACTTTGGGGTTCAGTTTCTTGTGCAGGTCTCGCTCACGCATCTGCAAAGCCCTGGCCTTTTGCATCCAACTATCCAATGTCTTGATCCTATGCTTGGTGAGCTCCACCAACCCCAAGGTCAAGTTCAGAAACAAGCAACGAATGAGATCATCTGGCAAGTTCATCAGTTCGTCGTATGGATGCCACAACTGACGGGAGACCTCAACAAAGGACTCCATACTCCTATAGACCCCGAAAACGCACAAGACCTTCTGTCCCGGTTTAGCTTCAGATCTCAACAAACGAGCACCGCATGGCAGGTCGCCTACAGCAGTCTGCAAGCATTGTTTGGAGTCAAGGGAAGGCACCCGGTCTAAAAGTCGTGTGATAACTTGGCCGTACTCTGACACTATTTGCGGCAAGCGACGTCCTCTGGGCTGTTTCTGAGGTTTGGCGGCCTCCTGTTGTGAGGCCTCGAGAGGGATAGAAATGCCACGTGCCTGAGCCAAAGTGACCAAAACATCAGTGTACGCTTCGCACAATTCTTTAGGATATTCTGCCTCTTTGGAAGTATTAAAAACCTGTGCCTCCTCGTCAAATCCCCACCCCTCGTGAGAATGCGTGCCATCACAAAATCTCTCCATGCAGCTAAAGCGGGCGTCGCTCGCAAGCAAAGCTGTGTTCTTCTTACGGCGACCTTCGTAAGCACATGCGTGAAGATGGTACAAATGGCCGCATGCCAAAGGAAAAGCCAGCTCTGGGAGTTCCCACAACCAGGAGTTACTGGGGTTCTCAATGACCCATGGGATTTGCAAGTGCTCCAAAAACTCAACGAACTTAGACATGGCGGCGTACAATTGGTTTGCAGCGGTGACCTTTGTCTTATCACTGGGTGACATGTTGGGGAGTCCATGTAAAAAATCGAAACAGGGTGGCGGACCTGGACTCCCGTCTGCTAAGGGAATGCCCCTGGCTTTGGAGCAAGTCCCACATGGCAGGCCTATGTGGACACATACGACTTCGAAGTCCGTGCACACCTGCCGCAAAACTTCCAAAGCATGTGGCGTTGCAAGGTCAAGAGTAAAAACGCTGCAGTGAGTCTTGTGGCGGTTGCGCGAGCAATCAATGGGAAAAACAGGAAAACCCCTAGCTTTTGCAGTTGCGCTGAGGATTGCGCACCCTGCGCATGCTTCGATGAAGATTGGACTCTTTCGATGTTTGTCGGTTGGTTTCGAACATGATGTGTCTGCTGTTGCTGTGGGTGCGATCGCTGGTGAAACAAAATCGGATGCATCTGCTTGAAACTTGTTCTGGCTTGTCTCTGACTCTTCACGCTTGTTGGGGTTTGGACCGGGGTCGTCTTCGACGACCGAAAAAGAAGCTTTACGCTTGGTTCCCTTTGGGGGTTTCAAATTCTCAAACGGCCCTTGCTTCGGGCCCGCATGCATGTTTGAGCCCTCTGCTTCGAGCTCATCTCTTGGACTGCCTAGTCACTCTTCCTTCCGGGCATTCGGACACTCCACCGCTGGATGCGGCTTGAAGCAGTTCTTGACACAGCACAGGTGCAATCCCCTGTCACACTTCTGTTGCTTCGCTTGTGCATTGCAAGTCTTCAAATTGAATCCAAAGCAAATGCGATTTCCTTTCGAAGTGCTTGCGACACCCCCCAAGCTTCAGCAGTTCAACTGGAACTCTTTGAAATGTGTCTGCCTTGCCTCCTCCCTTTCCTTTGGGACCGAGCTTGCGACGCTTGAAGGCATCGTCCTCCTTAACGATGTTCGGCTTGAAGCCACTGGGATTCGCGTTCGGAATCGCAGCGTTCTGGGCCATCCGAGGTTGAAGCAAGTGCCTGACCTCCGTTGCATTGAAACAAGCGTCAAATGAAAGATCACAAGGTCTCCCTGCCGGAGTTGCTTTAACGCCGCTTCGGGTGTGCTCCGACAAAAGTGTGAAGAACTTCTTGTCAGCCTGTTCCAACTGCTTCACGCTGACCTTCTGGTATCCTAGTGGAGGCTCTGACATACGAGTCTCCATCAACAACTCTGTCCACCTGTCGTGGTTCTCATAGCTCATCACATTTGCCTGCTCCATCGCGAGGCCTCGCCTCACAAGGCAGTACCTGACTTGGATTTCCGATGATGTTTGAGCCGGATCTGGTTTGTCGTGTTTGGACAGTTTCAGTGTGCCATCACCTGAAAAACTCAAACTGGTGTCCTTTTTCACGTTGTTCGAAAGCTCAAACTCTCGAGAGATGCACGCTGACCATTCCACATAAACCAGCCTGTCGCTCTCATAGCAATTGCAAAACTTGTCGACTAAGGTGTCACCTGGTTCATAGTGACCTCGGATCGAAAGGCCTTTCAATCGGTTTTGTTGTTCCCTAAGACGTTCGGCTCGTTCAGCAGGAGCTAATTTCCTCGTTGCAGTTTCATCGGTCTGTTCAACTTGGGATTTGATGTCTGCCGCAACGTTGGCATAGCTTTCACTGAACAATCTTCTCACGATACTCATCTCTAAAGCCGTTGCATCACGGCCCAAAGCGTCCTTCACCATGTCCACCAATGGCCTGTCTGATGCGGCCCCTGGTGCGTAGTTACAAGAAAAAGCAAAAAGAGCCATTGTCTTATATCCTTTGTCCTGGAGCTTTTCCAGGACAGCTCGCTCCATGCCCATCTGCAGTGCTCTTGCTTCGAACACCGCCGAGCTGTCGCCAAATGACATGGTGAGACCGCGAATCTAGCATGGGATGGCTATCCTTGAGTGCCCGGCTTCGGTCACGATCAAGATTCACGTCGAACCCCTTCCGATGTATAAGATTCCGTGAGGCCACCGTTTTTTCAACTCAAGTGGCTTTGGGTCCGCGCGCGCGCGCGCCTCCGACAGCCGCGCGCGCGGACCCAAGCTTCCAAAACGGTGACCTTCACGGATCATATTCCGATGCTTATGCGCTCGTTTCTGTATGTTTGAGTTTCTTCTGTTTGGTAAATTGATTCTCATTGCACTCGACCAAAGTGTCCAAAAGAAAAGCGTCTGCACGAACTTCACCACGGTTTACCAATCTTTTTGCACAAGCTTTCAGTTTGAACTCTTCCAGTCTGTCTTCAATCAATTCAAGCTCTTAAATGCTTGCTTTCCATTCTTCAACAAAATTCAAACTCTTAAATGTTTGCTTTCCATTCTTCAAAGAAAATCCTCAAGCGCACTCCATTTTCCCTTCATAGGCTCTCGACGTTGGTGTCATAGCTTCAGACACACTCCGCAAGCCGGATACACGAACTCCGGTTTCTCATCCAGGCGCAAATAGTTGGCATTTGCAGTTCGGCCACAACGAAAATGCGTACCTCCTTCGTCTGCGAGGACATGAAGGCATCGGGAAGTCTTGTGGCGAGCGTAGCACAAAGAGTCGGTGGCCTCCTGTGGCCTCCAGGGGCCTACAACTTGCGCAACTGCTTTCTCTTCTTCCTCCGGGATGTCGCCCTCCTCACTCTCCGAACCCCTGCTCTCCGAGTCCAGCGAACCATCGTCGTCTGAAGCAGGCTGGTTGCTTTCGCAAGTTGAGCCCGGGGCGAAATATCCGGACCGAGTCTTGTCCGGGAAAAACATGTCAGTCCTCACCGCCATGATGACTTCCCTAAGTCTCCTCAAAGGCAAGGACATGCTGTCTCTCGAGTATACCAGCAATGACTTGTCTTTCGAACAGCTGTGGTATCCCAACATGCGACGAACTGAATGTTCTAAGCCAAACTTCGAACACATGCTCAACAAGGTGCTCTTGCACGAATGCGTTGCGATTCGAACTGCGGCACCATCGGACACCTTTGACAAAGCTCGAAGCCATTCCCCTGCTGAACTCACCGGCAAAGGGGTTTTGGACCACGAGCCATCCGCCATTGGTGAGGTCATCAAAGGTGTTCCTCTCTCACACTTCAAACCCGCCTTGTCCCTCAGTTCAAGCCACGTCAAAACCCAGCTAGGGTCGGAAAAACCCAGGATTGGAATAGCAATCGGAAGGTGCCTTGTCTTGCGCTCCAATGTGATCGAGGTCTTCGTTCTTTCGGCCTCGCATTCAAGGAAACCTTCCAGGTCGGTGCCGACTGTGATGACATCAAGTTTCATGCTCGAAATATGAAGTCCGTCACTGAACCTAAGTCTTCCGAAGATCAAGAGCAAAAAGTAGCCTGCTGCGATCCTGTCAAAAGCAGTCCTACGTTCGTCCTTCACGATCTGTTCCAGGTGCTGCACTTGCTCAACAGTCAAAGGTGGCCTTTGCACTACTTTCCTTCGATTGCAAACATGCGCCGCTGACAAACCCTTAATTCGACCGCTCTTCAAAACGACTTCCCCTCCCATGAGGCCCAAAATATGGAAGGCGAACGAAATGGAGAGCAAAAGCGATCTGAAAGAACTCGGTGCGGCGTTTGTCCAAGACTTGAAGTATTCGTAAAGCATCGGTTCCTCGACTGGAAAACATTCACAACCCCTGTCCCTCCAGAACTTTGCAAAACGAATCAAAGGTCCTGCCCTGTTGTGAAGTGTGCTTGACGCCTTGTTGGCCAGGGCATCGCTCACTGAATCCATGAGACCTCCTCGGGCGAAATTCAAAGCTCCCGACGCGGCAACCTGTCGAGAGATCTGCCAAGCACCTACATTGGTCAAGATCAAAGAGCACCATTTCTTGTACGCACACTTCCTTTCCCATGACAGCTTCTCATGCCACAGTTTATTATCTGCTCTGGTTGCAAATTTCAACTTAGCCTCACGAAAAGCACTTTTGCTGAGCTCTGGACCAACTTCGAGGTTGTTAGCTGAACTATGGACTTTTGGCATCAATGGCATGTTTCCGGACAAAGGCATGACTTGCATGGAACTGGAAAACACATCGAAAGGCGTCCTCAAGCATGCATCCCATGGCATGACATGTGACTCTGATTTACGAAATCTATTCCAGCAAAATGCAAGATGTTTCTCATATCCATCCCCGGGGACGGCTTGCCCCTCATTTCCTCCCTCCATTGCACCCCAATTCCGCTTTAGTGAAGGTATCATCGACGATGACGGCGCTCGTAGCAACTATGATGTTTATGTCCTTCGGCCCGTGTACACGGGCGGTCACACCAGCGGCAATGAAAACCGCACCTCCACGGCAAACGAAGGCCCGGGGAGGAGGGCACCTCCCACGAGCCCTGGCTTTCAGGGATGCGCGGAGAAGAAGGCTGATCCGGAGCGGCAGTTTCGGCAAAACGAACAGTCAGTTCACTCAAAATCAGCTGAATCCAGCGAAGCAAATTGCTAGTGGAAACCTGAGACAAATCTGGGAGCTCGGCACCACGATCTCCCATTGCCAAAAACTACTCGCTCGCTTTGGATGGAATGAGCGCCCACCCGCCCTTCCCGCTTCTTGAACGGTAAAGCCGCGGCCGCGTTTGTATTTCCCGTTTGCTTGAAGACTGTCGTTTTTAAAAGCTTTGTATTAAAACATTTTTAACTTTTGGTACACAAAGTGTGTTTCACACCGCTTGTGAACTTTTAGCTTTTGATGTACACACGTGCGTCATACTTATGTGCTCATTCAGAACGCACCTGACGGACACATGCGCTTATCTACTGAAACTTAAAAACCTTTTACGCAGTGGGGGATGTTAGCTTAACATCAATCCTGCGTTACCTATAAACCGTCATTGGCGCGCCAACAACAAACATCCGACAGCATCTTGGGATACCGCCTGGGGCTCCTATGAACTGCTTTTACCTCCTTCTGCAGTGCTTTTACCACTTCGGAGTGTTATCCCTCCCAACCGGGTGCCTGTGAAGTCTGTCCTACAGCAGTAGCAGGTGTGTCCGATATCAAGATATTAGCTGTTGAACATGATGGCTCCCTACCCCTTGACTTAGTAAGGAGCGACAGTATCTTGGGATACCGCCGGACCTACCGGCACTGCCCCATAGAAACTGGGTTCGTGTCTAAGTTACAGAAACATCTTTAGCGTGGTCCTGCCTTACTGACTGCTAGACGCAGAGGCTTGTGGCTTGGTGGACGCCACTGCATTTTGGAGTGTCGCTTCTATATTGGGCAGTTCAACTGTGCGATCTACTAGGCGAAAGAAGTCAATCTCAGTACTGGATGCGAAAGCGATGGGTCCTTGCCAGATAGCCCGCAGGCATGACTTGGTTGACGCGCCATTCCCAGTCGCGCACAGTCTGGCTTTTGGGCGTCCGTCGCAGCAAAGGGCTTTTTTCTGTCTGATCTCTCCGTGGAGAGGTATCCGAGTTCGAAATGTACCCGAAGCAGGGCGAGTGGGGTAATGGTGTATGCGCGGTGCTTGGACAAAAGGTGCCAACTTTTCCTCGAGATGGTCGTGGCGAGCCCCGTATGCAGCCATCTCGCGACCTGCATATAGTGGTCAGCCACCGAGCGCTTCGCAAAGGTTTGCGCGGCGCGCTGCAGCAGGCTCATCTCAAAGGAGAAGCATCCTTGCCCCGTGGCTGGGACGTAGCTCTCTTCCTCTGTTGTTTCCTCATCTGCAGTCTCATCTGCACAGTCTGTCCTTGCATCCGGGCTTTTGGGGGCATTACCGCTGCTCCTCGGGCAAGGTCCCTTGTCCGCTGGGGTCTCCCTGGCAGGACTGTGCCTCGGCGCTGTTTGATCGTCGAGTGGTGGGTCAGCTATCCCATCCTTAAGTTTGTGCCACAGCGGAACCTCAACACGAAAAGCTCGTCTGATAAAAGGAGGCAAAGGAAACAATCTGTCCGAAGCTCGCATCAAGCATCCCTTCTTCATAAGCTATCGCCAGGGTTGGGGTTTCCGGGATGGGGGGGTATTGCTCACGCGAGCATCTTCCTTCGAAGACTCCCACGATGACATAAGGGTTGTTAGCAGCGTTATCCACATTGTGCCTGTATCTCTCTGCAGCAGTAAGTGAGCCTTCTTCAAGCTTTAGCGCCTTACACTGCGCAATGACCTTGTGCACAATTTGAACAGGGAAAAATACATGCACATGGTCTATGGGGAGCTCAGGTTTGCCAAGGTAAAGGCCTCGCGCAAAAGACATGACGACTGTTTGGTGCAAGTGAGTTGCGAGTGGGTTCTTCTAACGCCGGAGCCGAACTGTCTTGTTTTCTTTCTTTGCTTGTTCATCCGGTTCTTCTCCTGCTTCTGCTGTCTTCGCCTCGCGGCACAAAAGGACAGAAGGCCATACAGTAAGTCGGGTCAGCGTGTGGGGCTAGCTCAGCTTGGTCTGTCTTCTGTGGCTTTTCCTCGCTCGGTCGGAGAAATGCAAACAGGGCAGCCAGTTGGGCGGCCATGGCACCACAGATGGCGTCGAAGTCTTCTGTGGTGTGCTCAATCACCTCTCGGGGCAAGTGTTGAAACTCCACTCCTCTGAAGCTTAATTCCGCAAGTCTTCTATTGAGCGTAACCCGTAGGAGGACACCGATGTGGCGCGTTTTGACGCTGATGCGCGCTAGGGGCCATTCAGTGGGCAGGTGGCGTACAATGCAACGGGGGGCACCACTGGTGGTTGGCCTAGCTCAGCAGCTTGTGTCGCTCGTGCATCCCGTGCTGCATGTGCAGCTATTGTGAATGCGGGCTGGGTCTGCACTGATGCACTCTTGCCATCCTTTGTTTGCATGTTTGGCATTGAATGTTTATGGAAGCGGTACAATTCTTGCATTGCTCTCTGCTCAGATTGCACCGTAAGGTCTGCTTCCGCGAGCCCAGCATGGTCCCCTTCCTCTCCGAGGGCAATCTCAATAGGGCTGACTTGCTTGTCTGCGTCCTATCCTCGTCCGGTGAGTGGGGATCTTCCTTAATGCCCATTCCCCGCAGAGCATGCTCTGTTGGCTTGCGTCTTCTGTGCCGTGTTCTGGAGTGCTTTCGACACTCTCTGCAATGCACTGCAAAATGCCAACGGTTTTGGCCGCCTTGGACTTCACAGCAGTGTGTTTGGTGGCCGCGGTTAGAAGGGTCCCTTTGCCCCTCTCTGTGGAGGTGGCCGGCTTTTCCTTTTCAGACCGCTGTTGTGAGGCATCAGTCTCACTGGGTTCACCTCTATCAGTGGGCTCCTGCTCGAGCCAGCGATGCTTGCTGCCATCTTCGCCTCATACCTTTCAGCGTGTGTGCGCCTGGTGTCCCTGTCCCTGTCTCTGCTCGCTCAGCTGAAGGACAACGCTTGCAGTCCCCCTCCGTCACCTTATCATTGTCTTGGATGTTGGTGCGGTGTCTTGAGAATCCGCTTGATATCAGCAGGCTCTGTCACCACTCTTGCGGCTCCGGTGCCTTCGGCAGGGGGTGCGTCTTGCTGTTCATCTGTCTGAGCGCAGGGAGAGGCTGAGGGAGGAGACGTGGCAGACTGGGAGCGGCCCCCTTCCCCTGGCTCGCAATGTGCTTGGCACTCTGAAGAGGAGTCATTTACCTCCCATATGCTGGTTACCTCGAGAGGAGGGGACACCGGTGCATGAAATCAGTAGCTGTGACTCACCCAAGCCCGACAATGAGGGTGGCGAAGATAGGGAAGAAGAAGCAGCAACGGATGACTCAGTAGTCGAACAACAAGAGGAGCAACGCCTGAGGAGGTGACCGTACCAGCCGACGGTGCTGCTGGCTCTGAGGCTTGGGCGGGGGAGCCTTCTTCGTCTGCTTGGCTGCTGCACGGGGCTGGTTGGTCATGCGATTTTTGTATGCTGCGTGTACTGTCAGGCGATGGAAGAAGACTTGGCTGATCATCGGAACTGATCAGGTCGAGATCATCAGGGGACAAACTGCTATCAGGCATGCTAGCGGCCGGGGGTTGCGTGTCAACCGAAGTAGCGGCTGTGGGGCTCCAATAGCATCCATCCTGTAGCATACCAGGCGCCGGGGGCAGCAGCAGGGAGGAGTTCTCTCGATTTAGTATCGGCTCATTCCTCCATGCATCATAAAAGTAGATTTTGCGCAGGGCTTCAAACTGGTACAGCCGTGCCTTATTGGCGACATCACTTTTGCCAGGCGGGTAGCGGACAGCGCTACCGACCGTGAAGCGCGAGCCGCCTGCTTTGCTGACCGCATGAAGCAAGCGCCAAGCTCCAGGGTGACTGGTGTCTGAGAGGATGAGCCAATCCGGGTTGGCAAAGCCATCTGCTGCATAGCCAAACAAAAGCCCGCTGCCATGGAGTGGATGGGCATGATTCAGGAACTGATTTTGTTCGCCTTGCGAGAGGCAGCTTTGCTTTGTGAGAACCAGCCTGAGGCGTCTCACCTTCCCGTCATAATGTTCAGCCAGGCAAAGGGGAGCTGGCCCCTGCCACAGGGCGTGTGGCTCAGTGGCCGTGAGAAAGGCAGCAGTCTCCGCTTGGACATCTAAATTGCCAATTTCAAAGGACCCCTCAACTTGGGCAGTGCCAGGCACTATGTTGCTAGTGCGCAAGGTGCAAACTCCATGTAGGAGCGCGGCAATGACTTGCGCGGCACCCTCAAGACCGTGCATGTTGAGCGGGCACGCTAGAACCGTAAGGTCCGTGGCTCTGCTAAGGGCCACGTTTGCCCTGCTGTAACATTCTTTGTCGAAGTCAGACCTGTTGGAGTGGCCACTGAGAAAGCTAGA